GTTCTTATATATAATACAAACTTCTGATAACCCTTTTTATTTGCTCTCTTCAGGCAATCCATTTTTGTAGGTGGATTTAGGGAGGAGGGTTTCATTAGCTTACAGTGAAAATCATATTAAACCAAGGTTATTCTCCTGCAGCCCAGTTTGAGTCTCTAAGTCTTTTGAGATGCTTTGACTCAAATATATTGTAATAAGTATTGTTACTCAAAGCCACTTGATATCAAATCCAGTTAAAATAAATGCGACAATAGAATGTTCTATCTTATAATTTCTCAGTATTTTTTCAAATGAATTATGTGAGAGAAAATATTCTTCACATAGAAAGGTTTTATTATTTAATAAAGTAGAATAAATTATATTGGAGCTTTTTTTTACAGTTGGGCTGGCCATATACACTGAACTTTTTCTTTCAATATAGTTTCTCTTTTCAGTAGAAATACACAAGGCACAACTCTGTTGCAGGTGAGACTAATATTAATGTACACAGGGAATCTAGTACGATTAAATGAATAATCCCATTTTTAAAAATATCTAAGAGATGCTATGCAAGCATCACAACATCTATGATCCAGATCATCCAAGATCTGCAAAAATTGAAAATTTTGATCATAGAATAATCAATCTAGTTTTTATATTGCTAGCTACAACAGTAAAGATGTGAATGGGAGTCAAAATCAGCACCTTCCCATATGCATAAGAAGGCATGCTGAAGCTCACGGCTTTCAATACTAGACTAGCAGATTCAAGCTATCTTGAATAGTCTTAAACACAGTTTGTGGCATCCCTTGACTCCTATGTTTGATCACTGTGAAAAAGCAACATGGTAGCATAAAATATGACAGCATACATGAATTTAGACTACAGGATTTTTGCAGCTGTTCTTGCTTTCTTTTTTTCTTTTTTTTTTTTTTTATCTTTTTATATATCAGTTAATATCTCCATTGCCCATGTATCTGAACCACCAGATCTCACATTACTACAAGGCGAGGTGAAACTATTGCTGGTGAGTTACAATTTCCTTAGAGCTCTGAAGGATACAGATCATGTTCATTTAGTGCCTTGCAAACTTCCAGATAGATTTCCCTGTGCTGACACATACCTCTAAAAACCTGTATTTCCTTTTTGGAGTATGTGGGGTTTTGAGTTGGTTTGCTTTGCTTTGCTTTTTTTGATACATTAATTTTGAGACTATTCAAGACATATCAATTTTTAAAAGCCAGGAATATATGACCTCCAGACCCAGAGGAAGAAATATTTAAAATACTCCATGTGGTCCCTCATATCTGCTAAAAGAATAAAACTTTGAGAATAAATATAATTAGAAAAATGTTATTGTTATCTTTCTCTGAATCCCTACTGCACATTTTTTTTTTTAGCTATCTGTGCTCTCTCTTCTTGGTCCCAATCCCACACATGCTAAATGGTAAGCACAACCGACCTGCAGATCTGAAGTTAAGGATACCTTTATATAGTCTAGTTTTTCAGGTGCTAAACATATTGTAGAAAGGTGACCTATTGACTAGGAAGTTCACCTTTACCAGTTCATCACTTTCAGTATTCTTTGTTCTTTCAAAATTCCCAGAAAATAGTTATCCTTCTTTGGGCACAGATGAAGAACTGACAAACAGAGAATTAAATTACTTGCTCAGGGTCACATAGGGACTCTGACAAACTGGGATGTGAATCCAAAGCTAGATATTGATAAAAAATACTGCAGAGAGATACACTTTCCTCTGAAGCTGAACTCCCAATTTAAGTTGATGCATTCTACAATCAAGCATCATGCTACAATATAGATGGCTACTTAAATGGAAGACTGAAAGTCACAGCCTCCAAGTAAAATAGCAGTACTTTCTTCTTGAGTCTTTCTGATTAATAAACTATGATTCATGCATGATTCATGTTGTGAAAAACAAACATTTTTCCTTGTTACACCAGGCAATGCTTTTGCAAAAATGGTATATTGTGCTTGTTTTATTTTGCGGATAAAGAAGACTGCTTTAATTACTATGCTCTGACATGCTGTCTCCAAAACAGAAGGTACAGTATTGGAAGGAATAATGCATTTAAAATGTATTTGCAAAGGATTATTCCTCTAGATATTAAATGAAATAGCATGTGCATAGAGAATGGAAAAGAAAAGTTTTATTCTTCATGGAATCTTTATTGAAGGAATAATCAAAAAAAATGGAGTTAAGATTAATTGATTACATCAAAATATTAAATAGATGTTAGCAAAGCTGAATCTGCGCTGCAAACAAAAAAAATGTATTATTAAGGGTGTCCTGGGTGTGTTTTAATAACTTAATCCCATAATGCACAGTTGATCTTTGATAGACTTCAAGTAGAAACAAACAGGAAGTTAGGAAAGTCAAGGAGATCTGAAAACTACACAAAGAACAATCTTTATTTTTTGGTAGACTAGGAGCAAAGTAGCCATAGTGATTAATATGACAGTTAAATGCTAGGAGAGAACAGGAAAAATAGGTTAAAAGTATTAAGATGTGGATATTTTTCAAAAGGAGAATAGAGAGATGATGCCAAAACCAGGGAGGGCACAAAAGAAAGGCCATATTCAGTGAAGAAATCAAAGTAGTAGAAAAATAAAATACTATATTTGACATTTTAGTCAGACAGCACAGACTAGCTGCTGTGTCTAACAGAACAAACCGTTATTGCAGGTGCAGAAAGAAAAGAAATAATAGTAACAGCATCTTCCTAAGGAAAAGTAGATGTGGATATTCTTGAGAATATCCACTAAGATTCCTGTCAAGGTCACAGCCAAGCAACTGTGAGAGGAAAGAAAAAAAGATCCAAGAGCATAAACACTTCATCTGAATTACTACTACATAATTAACAAATGTATTTTTGCCTATATGATTCCGCAGGAGTGTTAGTTTGAAACATTTATGTAAACTAAACCCGAACCATGAGACCTGCAGAAAAACATCCCTGCCCTGGCCTCTCTGCCCAGGCAACCTGCACCCATCCACGAGTTGGGCTGCTCCTAGGGCTCAGCTCACGTAAGCCTGCAGGGCAGCAGGGCTGTAGGGATCGAGGGACCAGCACGATGCTCTGGTGGCTGCTTGGTCTGAATGTCAGGGAATGGAAATCTGGGCTGTGTGGATCCTACCTTGAAGTAGAGAGACAGCTAAAATGCACTTATGATGAAACTTGTGATCTCTGTTTCTAAATTTATGCTGTGATTAAATTTATTCAGTAATTTATTCAGTAATTAAATAAACCAAAGGGAAAGTTCTGCTGAATGATGGCTGACATTCTAGATACAATATATATAGTTCTGAGCAGTTATCAAGGAAATATCCACAGTGTGTAACTTTTTCAGCAGACACATAATTTTGCTACCTGCAGACAGCTTGCAGGACACATACTTGAGTAAAGATACACAATCATAAGTACAGGGTGGAACATCAGAAATAGGACTTCAAAGAAAGAGTGCAATATTCCCCAGGACACTCACTTGAATACTGTTAAGAATGAAATTTTTAATTAAACCGCAGCAAAAAAAAAAAATCAAAGAGGTACAGATTTTACAAAGAGAGAGTTATACGATATATAGCCATACATTTTTATAGGACGGGCTTCAACAGTTCCCAAGAACTGGGTCACAATCTTAATGCTGGCTAACTGAAGCTTGGTTGCGTTATTACCAATCAAGATCATTTTTACACTAGGGATGTGCTAATACTACTAAACAGATTTTAATGAACTGGAATGCCGGAATTAACCATTTTTTTCCTGGCAAGGAAGGAGTCACCTTCTGTTATCAGGCACCAAATCATTTTAGTGTTTTGTTGCTATGCTCTTCTCCTTTTACAATCTACTGCAGAAAATAGTTTGGCTGAGTGGAAAGAAAATGTGGCTGAATAAAATGTAAATAAAAATGGATACAGAAATTAGTCCTGAAATACTGTAGATGTCCCAAGGCCTCGTCAAGAACTCAGATACAGTTATATTAGGCTTTTGGGAAGATGTAGCACTCAAGAACAGGTTTAATTCTCAAGAAATGGTAGATCCTATTTAGATAGCTTAAAACATGGCAAAAGTATTTAAAATGAGACCCTCAATTTTACTTATTCAGGATGCAGCTTGCACTCATTAGTGGAAGAATAAGTATGGCAGGTAAATTATGAAAGACACTGTTATAGTGTGAATGTGGAATTCAGATTGCAAGCTTGGACTGAATCTTTCATTGGGTAAACAGGTTAAGAGTCTAAGAACATGTCTAAACTAGTAATATAGAAAGAGGTATATTTGGTATGCATCTATGCCTGGAGATTTCTGGTGCACAGTGAAGTACATTACTGATACACTGGAAGTGTTCTCTCTCTTCTGAAACAAAGACTGATGCCAAGAAATAGCACATTAGCTAGGGAGTACCATTTCCAGTGTGGGTGTAAGGACCACCACTGTGCATCTCTCTAGGTTTGCATGGCACATGCAACATTAGATTGTTGGCAATCTATTGGTTCAGACAAGTACTGCTTGTTTATAGAGGTCCTTCTACAAATCTATTCTTTATCTGCCCATCATTTATCAAACTAGTCATAGATGGACATCTTCACTACTATATCTGATTATAATTTCTTAGTGCAATGCCCTACTAGTGGCGGGTAATACTTACGAAAACGCATAGGAGAGTGCATATATAATGGTCACAGTCAACAGAAGTTACAGGTAAATTCTTTCCTAGGTATGAACAAAGCTAGAGTAGAGAATATAGAAAACAATCTCCTCTGGAAAATGTCTGCAGTATACCCATTTGAAGATGTGGGTAGGCTGCCCATATGGATACATACGGTAGGTACCTATGTAGACAACCTGTGCTTCTCACTTTTATTTCAAAGACAGAAAAGATGCATTTTGACTGCCTCTTGGCACAGGATTTAAAGATGAGTCATCTTACATAATAAAAACTTCTAATTTAGTTATAAAGGTTACTACTGAAATATGACTACATTTTAATTGTGTTTTGTTTATCCAAAATGCATCTCTGGCAGGTTTTCTTTGGACTCGTAGTCACAGTAACAAGACTGAAAGAGGGATGAGCAACACACCTGGAGCCACGGCTTCCAAAGAAGATTGTCCCATGATAACTGGTCAGGGACAGCATGTAGCGATTTGGTGTGATTATTTACTTCTTGCTGTATGACTTGGAGTATTTCATAAAAACGACTCTCCATTTCTGGAGTCAGTGGGACTTTCTCTTCAGGGTCTCTGGAGAGATCGAAGAGTAGTGGGGGATCATGATGTGTGACAGACCTTCCAGAGCAAAAGCAAACATGAGAATCATAGCAACCATTGGAGTCTTCAGGATTAAAGTTTGGAGTGAAGAAGATGATTTTCCAAACAGAATCACCTGCAATTTACAGACATAAAACAGTTGATGAAAAGAGGCAGACTAAAGCTCACTTAATGTTAAGAAAATCAAATTTATACCACAGGAAATCAGTCTCTCAGTTCAACCTCACTGTGTACAGGCACTACAACATACTGAAATAGCAAAATAAAGCAAAACAGAGCAGTTGTCATACTACACAAATATATGATTCTGATCAATTCATTTCTTTGGAATAATTCTATTAAATCACAGAAGACTTGAAGTGGCATTATGTTTTATATAAACAGTGCTAAGATGACCTGCATACATCTAAGACTTATTAAAATGGAACTTTACCACTTGACCATATCTAGACATTCCTGGGCTATGACTATTGTTCACTTTGTGAACCAAAATCCATTTCATGTTTATCTTATTTTCTCCTAGGCTCCTTTTTTAATTAAGCCAAAACCTTTGGTATGTTCTTAGACCACAGACACCTTGATACAGAGACTCCTAATTTATGAAATGTGACGACATGAACTGAACCTAAGTTCTGTCTCATGCTACATGCTTCTGCAAAAAACAAACAAGTGCTAGGGTGGTATAATTTTGAGGTGGAACTCTCCTTTTTAGTATGAGAATCAGATCTAAAAAGAAGGTGTATTGGAGAACCTGAAAATACTTAACAGGAAAGAAATCAAACAACAAATGTCTAACATTTTGCTCAAGCACCACAGAGCAGATAATAATTTTAAGGGAAGTATGTAGGTACAGTTCTCCAAAAACACACTAGAGAATAAAAGAGTCACAATCCATGCTTTATTCTTAATAAAAGTGGGATACTAAATAGCTGAGGTCTTGAGGCTAGGTCTATAATTACTGATTATTTATTCATTTGAATGTATACAGATATAAAAAATTCATATTCATTAAGGTTCACTCAGTACTCTAATGCCAAAACTATTTCCTTAACACTGTTAAGTTCACAGAAAATTTGTTAATCTAATAAAAAGTAGGCCAGTATGGAATTATATGTGCTGTAGTGGTTAATATTTATTAACTGAGTCATGAGTATAACAGAATGGAAATACTACAAAAATGAGGGAAAGACAGACATAACCAGTATCACATGCTGTAACTACTTCATACTTTACTTTCAAAGACAAAAACAAGCATAAAGACATGTTTCAGTAGAAAAAGAAAGTCACAGGTCTCATACTTTACTTTCAAAAACAAAAACGAGCATAAAGAAAGACACGTTTCAGTAGAAAAAGAAAGTCACAGGTTGCAGTCCTAGTCTATAGCATGATTTTAGAAGACAGTATGTGACCTCAAGATTCTTTACAGCTTCTTCTATCCTTCAGCATTTTTCACCTTGTAAGAATTTTTACCTTTAGGAACCTATTCAGTGTTAGAATCTGGAGACTTCCAGTTCACTTAGTTTGCACTTATATTTGGGTTGGAGGGGTGAAGGTTGTTACACATGTTAGACTGGAAAAAATGCTCTGAACATTGCTTGGAAGTCAGCAAAGAGGAGGGAGTATTAAAGGCTGATAGTCTCGCACAGACAACAGGACATGGCACTCTTTGAAAGGCTGAAGGCTCTCACTGTGACAGCAAGCAGAGCACATGCATTCTGGGGGATGGGAAAGGGGAAAGGAGAAGAAAGGAGAGGGAAGGATGTCTTCCTTCGTCTACTTTTCCAGTAACATTTGAAAGGTCAGTTTGAAACTTGAGTTCTTTGCTGTTTTCACATGGTTAAAAATAAACAAATACATTCCCTTAAATCTCATTGAACTTACGCATAGACTCTTGTCCAGAGCAAGTATATGCCTCATTTCCTGAGACTTAGATCTTGCATTCTGAGAAAGAATACCAAATATTTCTTCAGGCTTTTTTAAAGTGTTTAATTGGCAAGGTGGACAACGAGGAACATAAAAAGCCGATCAGTGCACTGTATGTCTTCATAGAAACGCAGTATTTAGCTCAGATCAAATTTTGTTTCAGAACTTTTCAGCATTATATGAAGAACAGAAAAAAATATATAGCTATTAAAATGTCAGCTAAAAGAAATTCCTGCAAGACTATGCATATGAGAACCTTGTGATCACACTGTCTTACCACAGATCTCTTTT